TTCAACCTTTTCAAGACTTATACCTTTTAAGCAAAAACTTCGACATTAGGTCGTCGTATCTTCAAAAACCCGTCCGTATCCCTTTCGGCCAAAACGATTCATTTTCAATCAAGCGAACAATTTTAAAATAAACAGATATTTCAAAAGGTTCCTATAGAGTACTATAGATGCATTGGGTGCTAGTACCTTCCCATTGTATAACCAACCCCCGAACCATAAGATCTCTTTTCAAAAACGCTTTGTATTTTATTATTATTTACATTGCATATTTAGGGTTTTATTTCGCTCTTTTCCCTTTTCCTTTGGAAACAATAAAGCGCGGTGGCGACTCTTGCTTTTGTGAGACGAATTAATCAATAATTCGATCTCCGATTTACCCCGCTACATTTTTTATCGCTACACCGCCACAAAATCCTTTTGAGAGATGAACGCTCATGTTGAATTAACTGAACATAGGATTGGAGAACATCATGAAGTTGGTGGGCACCAAATATTTTTGAGCCTTAAAATCTTTTTTCTAAAAACCATGAACCAGACCACGTTACAACCTTCAAAAGTCCTAATTGAAGCAAGATTATTTTGAAAGAATACTTCAATGAGATAGTGTTCCTGACTCCCATGAATGTTCTAAATAGTTATGTTGGTATCATATGTTTTTCCTATACAAAAATAAATGGTGCTTTAACTCGCAAAATTTGTGCGATATCTTTCAAAATCTTCAAGACTTACATAACTGTTGCATTAGAATTTTCATTCTCATTGTAAACTTTTTCTAACTGCAAAACATTTGTTTGATATCAAGGAAGCTCACATAAGCACCAATGATGAGTCAATTCTTAAGGCCTGAAACTCTGTTGAGTAATTGGCGAATTATTTCAAGAACAAAATCATATTCAGGGGCGTGTCACCTGAAGACCGTAAGCACGAACATGTTGCTTCTCCCAGTTAATGCTTTTCCCAACTTGTTTGCTCGTTTGGGGCAAAAAATTCGAAGACTTTGTTGTGCCGACTACAGTCAATCCGGGGTAATCACGTAGAGATTTGATGGATCTCTCTTAGAGTTTGAAGACACCAGAGCATAGTGAATGCCAGCTCTTTTATAAAATCCTCTTGAGACGATTTCTCCTTATCAACCATATAGCTTGGGGCATTTTAGAAGTGAAGTTATTCGTAAGAATTATCGTGCAACATACAGCTTATCAGCAGTAAACTTGGGGCATCCAAAATTAGTCCCAGGGGAAATCCAAATTTGTTAAGATATGTGATATGTATTGCACACATTATCAGAGGGTGGTGTTCCCAGTATCTCTAGCTAAGCATGACTTTTTCCAGCTGAAGCATTGTTCGTGTTGTTATCCTTTCAATGGATTGTCGACAATAGAAGACTGGACTTTGGGTTTTCTACCTGAAAATATCTTCCTTTCCAAAGATATTTAAGCCTTGTAAAAGGACTTTGCTCCAATGATGGCTTTTGTTTTCTATCTCCAGTAATGTTACCATCCTGTTGAGATTAGCCGAGTGTCGAGTTGTACTGTGATGTCTTATCATTTTCTGTCCATCTCCCCTGTCTGTTTTGTCAGCATATACATGACATTCATTTATTCATTCACACTTGCATCATGCATGCACAACTGTATTTGTTGATGTCTTAAAGTTTGTATACCTTGGTTATGTCTATTCAAATAGTGTATTTGATCTTTCCAAATAGAGTGTCAACTTAAGCAGAAAGTGCGCCTCCTTCCTAATTCCCCACTGAGTTAACTCTCGTGGAAGAATCTTGCTTTAGCTTTCCTTTTCCATCTCTGGATAAGATAAATCCCTATTTGAGTTGTTTCCTCATTGGGTGGAGTCTTGTTTGACTGTTTTCTCTCCAATTTATTCCTGGATTGAGCTTTGTCTCTTGTGAATGATACCCTGTGGATCTCTCTAGGCTATGAAACCTAGATGGAGAGTGCATTGATCTTGCGTATGTAAATACTTGGTCTCCTCAAGAAGGATTTATTCATGGTTCCCCATTGAAGATGAACTTTATTCCCCAGTAGTGTTATCACAACCTCCTTCTGGAATATCGACATGACAACAAGCGACTGACTCTTTATTTGCGCAGTTTGATTATTTCTGATTTCTCTACGATAAATGGCGGTCTCTTCATGAGCAATTTGTCCATCCCCGATGAAATTATTGGTTCTCACCTCCAGCAATATCTTCACGATATTTTATGGGTATCTTTTTGGGAAACAGCAAGCGGCAGTCTCTTCATGAGGCAACTTGTGTGTTATGGATACTCTTGACAAACAGCAAGCGGCGGTCTCTTCATGAGCAACTTGTATGTTATTGTCACCTTTGAAAACATCAAGCGGCGGTCTCTTCATGAGCAACTTGTATGTTATTGATACCTTGGAAAAAACATCAAGCGGCGGTCTCTTCATGAGCAACTTGTATGTTATTGATACCTTAGAGAAAACAGCAAGCGGCAGCCTCTTCATGAGCAACTTGTATGTTATTGTTATCTTTGAAAAACAGCAAGCGGCAGTCTCTTCATGGACAACTTGTATGTTATCAACACTTTTTAAAAAACAGCAAGCGGCAGTCTCTTCATGGACAACTTGTATGTTATCAACACTTTTTAAAAAACAGCAAGCGGCAGTCTCTCCATGGACAACTTGTATGTTATCAACACTTTTTAAAAAAACAGCAAGTGGCAGCTCTTCATGAGCAGCTTGTACGGAAAATGGCAAGTGGCAGCTCTTCATGAGCAACTTGTGGGTTTTTGGCAACAAGTGGCGGACTCTTCATGAGCAGCTTGTGTGTTTTGATATTCTTTGAAGACAACAAGTGGCAGACTCTTCATGAGCAGCTTGTGTGCTTTAATATTCTTTGAAGACAGCAAGTGGCGGTCTCTTCATGAGCAGCTTGTATGTTATTGACACCTTTGAAAGGAAGCAAGTGGCGGCCTCTTTATTTGAGCAGCTTGTGTATCCCCAACAATAATGTCTACTCAGCAAATGGCACCCCTTCGGAAAAGTCCCGTGGGGAAGTTTTTATTTTATCCTTTTCAAGCGATATCTTGGTTAAAGAAGAAATGTGTTACCGTTCTTGGTAAAATTCAGAAATCAAAGATGTTTATCTCCAGCCACAGTGCTGATGTCAATCATTTTATTCTCCAGCCACAGTGCCGATGTCAATCATTTTGTTTTCCAGCCACAGTGCTGATGTCAATCATTTTGTTTTCCAGCCACAGTGCTGATGAAAATCATTTCTTGTTCCAGTCTTCGTACTGATGTAAATCATTTCTTTTTCCAATCACAGTGCTGAAGTAAATCATTTCTTTTTCCAGTCTTCGTACTGATGTAAATCATCTCTTTTCCAGTCTCAACACTGATGTAAATCATTCAAGAGTCTCTCATTTGAAGTCTATGACTTTGTTTCCCCAGTGGAGTTACAACCTCTTCCTCTGTGGGATTACTGTATAATGTCCTTCGTTTCTCCAGCATAGTCTGTCTCATATGGCGTCACTCCCCATAAAATTCAAAACATCACATTCATATCATATCGTAAACATAATCGCGGTATCTTAAGGCCAAAAATTGTGTATTCTATATTTAAGTCCCTTCAATCTCGTCGAAATGAAGATCCCAATCTTCATATCTCCAGATAGAAGAAACTTAAATAGGGGCAGCTGTTGTACCCCAATTTTTGACCTAAGATCCCATTTTTATTTTTGCATTTTTTCAAGATAAGTCAAGGTCACGAAATACGGTCGGTTTTAACGTCTCACCTTCGAGCTTTGACTATGCAGAAATTGTCAAATATTTTGAACATTCTTAGCCTATGTATCACTAACTTCTAATCAAGCACGAAGTGTGTGTTTTTTGTTTCTTTGATTTCATTTGCAGGAAACAGATCTGAATCAAGAGCATCAGGCGTCATGCCTCGATTAGGGTTCAGAATCTCTCAAGCCAGAAGTACGGTTGATTATGGATTCTCGAAGACTGATTCATCAAGGCACAACCGTTGCACCCTAAATTTCGCCCCTAATATGTTTTAGTCGCACTTTCATATCATATTTTGTTATTTGGTCACGATCATTAGTAAATATCTTCATTCATCACATTTTGCATCATTAGTCGTATTTAAGTTGATCAAAAAAGTCAGTTTAAATCAAAGTTTGCATCGTCTTTCAGTTGTAAAATACCTGGCGTTTCACTTCATTCATTTTTATCTGTTTACTATTTTCTTGCAGTGCTCCAAGTTGTTTATATGTCAATAATAAAAATATTTTGGTTTTATAGACAGACCGTTAAAAGCGATTCAATATTGTGCGAAAAGATAGCGAGAAAAATATTTCAAGTTTTCACCTCTTACCGATCATTTTATGAATCTGCATGACGCGTAGATTATGACGGTATGCTCGCTTTATTTTTTCGGTATAGTTTGAAGTCTCGTTTTTAACCGTAAATGTCCGTATTAGCCTGATATTTTATCATTTTATTTCTGACTTCTTGAATATTTTTTCTTTAATCTTTGTGACATGTAGATTATTTTAATGTGTTCATTTTATTTTTTCGGATAAATTTTCGTCCGTTTTTTTATCGTTTTCGGTCATTTTGGGTCTTTATTTTTTATTCAGAAAAATTCCAAAAAATTATTTTAAATTGAGTTAATTTTAATAATTTCAGTTTTTATTTCATTTTTATCATTTAAGGGCGTTTTTGTCATAAAAAAATATTAATTACACTATACTTGATTTCTATTGGTTGTTGACAAAAGTTGCGGATTGATGCATACTGAATTTATTTTGAACGGACATGATTAATTTGATATCATTTTTTCTCCTTTTCATTTTCCTATTTAAAGCCTATTTCACTCTTTGTAAACACACACCAAATACAACAAAAGCAAATTCACAGTAATACACTCTCTCAACCTTCCATACACCTCCTTCAATTTCACTACCAACCTGTTATCTAACAACTCTCCTTCCACCCAACAATACTTCCTCACAAACCATTCTGCAAGCTTCCCTTGTTCTTCTTCACCGTATCCACCAATTTCCATCCTTCCTCCATTGTTAACACCCTTCCATCCCAATTTTCGCAAACTGCATCGCTTCGCAACACCCCTTTCATCAACCCAGCAATCGTTCCTGCTAGCATTTCCCTTTCGCTCATCAAATCTCCATCACCTCATTCCGTCAAAAACTCGTCGTCAATCCAGCCTTGACAACCTCACCTACTGAACATCTCCTTCCGCCTTCCGATTCTGCAAGCACCGTCTCTGTCTGATTCCCCTTCCTCATCATTCCGCCAATCCAACTTCCATGCTGCCCAAACTGCGATTTACAGCAGCTCATCTCCAATAGAATCATCAATTTCCACCCGCCCATCTCGGTACTTCCTCCGTCCAGGTTTTGCGACACAACATCAGCAAGCCATCTGCACTTCTGCTCAACACGTAATTTGCTTCCATTTCCTCTCCACCTCACCAACACCATTCCCACGTCGCCAATTCACTCCTCTCTCTTTACTCCGAAGCCCACGACCTTACTTCAGTGCACCTCGTTTTTCAAGATGTTTTACACCCAGATGTGTATTCATGGACCACCCTTTTGTCTGCTCTCACTAGATTGAGCCATGTTGATTATGCACTTCATGTGTTTGATCAAATGCCAAAGTGTTATGTTGCTGTTTGGAATGCTATTATTACTGGGTGCAGTGATAGTGGACGTCAAGATGTTGCTTTTAACTTGTTTAAAGGTATGTTTAGGATGAATGTTAGGCCTGATAATTACACGTTTGCAACTATCTTGAGTTTTTGTTCTTTGGATGCTTTGGATTATGGAAGGCAGGTTCATTCTCTTGTTTTAAAAACCGGGTTTTTTGGTTAGGACTTCTGTGGTTAATTCTCTTATTTCTATGTATTCTAACTGTGGATGTATTAATTTAGAACAAACCAAATTCATAATTAGAATCATAACTGTGGATGTATTCTAACTGTGTATTCTAACTGCTATGTATTATTTCTATCTTTTTGGTTAATTCTCTTTTTTGGAATGTATTAATTTAGAATTTTTTTTAATTAGTTTAGATTTATTTTATAATTTTAAAATATTTAGAATCATAATTAATAACTTTAAAATTTTATTTTGTTTTAGTTTTATTTTATAACTTTAGAATTTTATTTTATTTTATTTAAGTTAACTTTAGAATTTTAATTGTTTAGTTTTAGTTTAGTGACTTTAGAATTTTATTGGATTTTATTTAGTTAACTTTAGAATTTTATTTGTTTAGTTTTAGTTTAGTGACTTTAGAATTTTTATTTGATTTAGAATTAGTTTAATAAATTTATAATTTTTATTTGATTTAGAATTAGTTTAATAGGTTTATAATTTTTATTTAGTTTAATAACTTTAGAGTTTTTATTCTGATTTGAATTTAGTTTAGTAGTTTTAGAATTTTATTCGATTTAGATTTAGTTTAATAACTTTAGAGTTTTTATTTGATTTAAATTTAGTTTAGTAGTTTTAGAATTTTATTCGATTTAGATTTAGTTTAATAACTTTAGAGTTTTTATTTGATTTAAATTTAGTTTAGTAGTTTTAGAATTTTATTTGATTTAGATTTAGTTTAGTAACTTTGGAGTTTTCATTTGTTTTAGATTTAATTTAGTAACTTTAGGATTTTAATTTAATCTAGATTTAACTTACTAAATTTTAAAACTTTAGTTTAGTTTAGATCAAATTCAATAATACTAGAATTTTTTATAATCTTAGAATTTGTAATTAGTTTAGAATTATTTTAGTAAGTAATTTTTAATTTAGTTCGAATAACTTCTTTAGATAATTAGTTATATTCCTTTTATTTGTATATTTCTGTCATTTTAATTTCTCGGTGCCTCTTGATCATTAATTTGTTTTTGTCAGATTTATTTTCTTGTGAACTTCTGAATGTTTATATTTTGATGTTCATTTTATTTTGCTTAATCCAAGGGAAAGAATTAATTTGTTGACTTCATGTCATCGAATATTTAATACGATTATGTGAAATCCCTTCATACGTTTTTAGTTTTATTAATCTTAAGACGAATCTCCTACAAATCAATTTTTAAACTCACACCCCTTTTTAAGCCAAAACTTCGACATTAGGTTATCACATCTTCAAAATCTCTCCAACACCGATTTTTAGCCAAACGAACCATTTTAATCAAACAAACAATTTTAACAAAAAAAAAACAGATATTTCAAAAGGTTCCTGTGGAGTACCGCAGATACATTGGGTGCTAATACCTTCCCATTGTATAACCAACCCCCGAACTCTCGATCTCTTTTAAAAACGCATTGTATTTTCATTACTTTTAAATATTAATTTACATTGCATACTTTAGGGTTTTATTTCGCTCTTTTCCCTTTTCCCTTGGAAATAATAAAGCGCGGTGGCGACTCTTGCTTTTGTGAGTCAAGTTAATTAATAGCTTGATCTCCGATTTTCACCGCTACACTTAGGAGCATGTTTTTTTGGATAAGACATGAAGATTAAGACTATCATTTTAGACAACCACGATTGTGGATTCAATTAATCAATTAGGTTTGAGCTCTTAAACATTTATTTTGTTTAAGAAGGAAAAATACATGATTTATCTGATCATATTGAATCAAATTAGGTTTGAGCTCTTAAAATGCAAGTTATCAAGCAAGATTTTTATCCAAAGTATTCAATCAAATATTGCAAGTTATGTACAATAAATTCTACTACACCAAATTTTATTCAAGTGTTTGATATTTTTACATTACAAATGAATTTACAAATTATTTGTCTTGTTTACAAAGAATCTCAAGTTTACAAAGAGAATTTCTTGTTTGCTTCTTCGGGTCTTCATCTTCATCTTCAAGTGATCAATCCAATCTTCATTGGCATCCAAGTCTTGCTTGCCGTTCATGAAACAAATCAAAGAAAAAGAAGATATAATTAGCACATGATAATGAAGTTTAAACAAGGAATTTTCAGGCAAATTTTCTCCTGATTCATCACTAGGATTTGCAATTAGGAAACATAATTTTTGGTCTATCAGAATCTCTCTCCCCAAAATTCAAATCACAAAGAAAGTTGCCCTTCTTGGTTCACAAAAAGAGAAAAAAACACAAGCAAGTCAACAAGGGCAAACTGCCCAAAGCAGCTAACAGCAAGCCAGCAGAAGCCAAGCTGCCTAAAGCTACAGCAGAAACAACCAAACTGCAACACATATCTGCCTAAAGCTACAGCAGAAACAACCAAACTGCAACACATATCTGCCTAAACCTACAGCAGAAACAACCAAACTGCAACATAGATCTGCCTAAAGCTACAGCAGAAACAACCAAACTGCCACACAGATTTGCCAAACAAGCCCAACATTACTGCAACAATCAAACAACAGTTGTGAGATTAGCAGCAGGATGCTAAAGCAAAAGCAAAAACCTGCAACAATAAATAGCAGCCCCAACACAACAATGCAGCAACTTGAAACAACAATTCAAAACATAGCAAACTATCAAAACATGGCCTCATCATTTTCCTAAACTAGCAAACCCTTCAGAATTTTTGAGTAAAAGCAAATTTGCTTTGTGTCATATAAATATGAAGAGGGAAAGAGAAAGAGACAAGTTTTGGAAAGATATCACCTAGGCCACTAGCAATCCTAAAATTGCCAAGCTAGCTACTATCACAAAACAAATAGCCCTGCTACTTCTGCTACAGCTCTGCAAAACTGTCCAAATCCTGCCCAAAACTTGTACAAAAATGGTAAAAAAACCAGAAACTGCAACAACAAAAATCAGCACAGTATGCCACAAGTTTCAAAGGACTGTCATTTTTCCCTCCCATTCTCTTTTCAATTTTTTAATGTCAATATAGAGGGAGAGATATCAAAAGGAAAAGGAGGAGAAAATCACTAAGAGAGAGTTACTTCCATCAAACCCATTCCATTCTTTTACTACATAAAAATAACTGAAAATACAATCACCAAAAAATCCATATCTCTTTCACAGCAAGACACAAAATAGCAGCAAGTATACAACATCAAAAAATCACCAAAAATACCATCACCAAATACCATCACAAAAAGCCACATCTCTTTCACAGTAAGATACGAAACAACACAAAAAAATAAGCATAGTGAGAGGAAACCAATCAAAAAGAAACCACAAAAATATCACAACATAACAGTCAATTGTACAAAACTGCAACCTCTAATCAAACACAAGAAAACCAGCAATCTCGAACAACAACATTAGGCCAGCAAAATCTACAGGTCTTTAGACTCAAGCCAAACAGAATCAACATATACGAAAGTAAAAAAAGAAGTATAAAGAAGGAGATTCGGACACCATACCTAGAAGATCAAAGCCTCAACTTCGATCTCCTTTCCTCCATTTTCGCAAATCGCAGCAAACCCTAGCCCCACAGATAAATCCGAAAACCTCATTTCTCTTCATCGTTTCCTTTATACCATGCGATAGCTCATAGTTCCAGGAACAAAACCCATGTATTCACTGTTAAGATTGACGAAAATGGAGAGTTTAATTTGAACTTGAAACAAGTTAGGGTTTTCTAGTTTTGACTACTGATTGAAGGGTTCATAGAGAAGTTGATAGAGGTTTGAATCAATAGAAGTTAGGACGTTTGGTTTCATGGTTAGAATTCGGCGACTGTGAAACAGGGTGGCAAGGAAGAAGGCGTTGTATCTGGGGGCGAGAGGAAGAAAAGAGAAGACTGGGGGATTTTGTTTTTTTTAGTTTACACATTCACTTAACCTAACCTAGATTTAACTAATAAAACTTAGGTTTAGTCTTTTGTTTTTTTTAATTAACTTATTTTAGTGTCATTTTATTTAGTTAATAAACATTAGTTTAGGTTTAATACATCTTAGGTTTAGTTTACCTTAATGAGCTTTATTTTAGGTTAATTATTTTCTTTAGTTTATACTTAATATTAATTTAGGATTAATACATTTTAGGTTTAACTTTTTTTAATTAGCTTGTTTTAGGATAATTTTTATTTAGTTGTATTTAACTTAATTTAGATCTAGTCAATAAATTTTAGAATTAGTTTTATTTAATTAGTTTGTTTTAGGATAATTCTATTTAGAATTTTAAATTAGTTTTTTTTAGATTACTTTAAATGACTTTTTTAATTTAAATTTAATTTTTGGTTTAAAAATTAATTTATTTTCTCATAAACAAAAATACTCAAATTTTTTATACTTTGTCAATTAATTTTTTATAGACTGTTATAATTCTAGTTAAATTGTTAAAGTTCGATCTGGTTGTATTGTTTGCTATTTGAACTTGGTGATCGCGTTTGACTCATCCCCATTCATCAATTTGTATCCCCATTCCCGAAAACTCTGTAATAGCGTAGAATTTCAATTTCCGCAACTTACTGTTTTCTTTATATTATATAGTAATTAGGTGTGTATGGAAAGATTCAAAATCAATCGCTAGATAACCTAATTTCGATA